TTAAGATTTACAGACAGGTTTTAACATGTGAAGTTTCCATAAATTATACAAATATCCCTCAGGCCAATCACTCAAATGACATCATCTCTCTCTGCTGATGCAGGGTTTTCCAGAGTGGTGTTTAAGTTTAGCGCCCTCATTAGTCCAGTAGGAGTACTGCTTGTTAGAGCCACAACACAGAGACACTGTCCACCATCCTGTAACAGTTTATATAGAGATTAATGCTTTTGGTCAGACTTTTCTTAAGTCTAAAGAATGGATGAATATATGTCTAAGTGAAACTGTTAACAACCAGCAGATATCTGGGATTTGACATGGAGTCTTTTAGGCTTTTTAGTAAGAGGTCACATGCTAAAACGGTGAGGAACCACAGGCCTAATCTTCATCAATAAGCTGTATAACATATTGTGGGGTTTTTCTGTATGAATAAGCATAAAACAATAAGAGTTAAACAAAAATTGTACTCAAGCACATTACTGTCTTGTCACTTTAACAGTTCACTTTTTCTTTGTTTCCATCAGTCGAAATGTTTGGGTGTGATCATTGGAAGAACTATGGACATTGAAGTATGGAAGTAGTTTGTGTAGTAGTTGGTGATTGTACATTGTATATTACTTGTATGCCTTATATTTGTTTTGTCTTGTATTTCTTCACATGCACGTTTAATTGTTGTTTTTTGCATTCGTTGTATTTTTTCTTTTTTTGGTTATGTGGACATGTGTACTATCCTCAGGGTGATTTATGTGAGAATAAAACCAGGGGGAAATTAAGTTAAATGAGGGACACTATAACAGATAGGCAGGAAAAGTGGTGTAGGAACCATTGAAGGAAGGAAGACAAAACAATGGGAACTTTTTTTTATCTGCCTGTTTTATCTCAGTTTGATATTATCTCTGCCTTCGCCCCCTTCTATAGAATAGAATAGAATATATCTTTATTGTCATCATACAAAGTACAACAACATTTATTTGGCAACTCTCACTGCACTCACTCACTTCTCATTTCATTTCATTTCAAACCTTTATTTATCCAGATTGTCCCTTGAGATCATAGATCTCTTTTTCAAGGGAGACCTGCATCAACATTTACAAATACCCATAGTTTCAATGAGCATTTCATTTAGACTTGCTTTAAAAACATTCAGAGGAATACAATTGCTCAGTTTCAATTTTAGCTGTAGACTGTTCCAAGCAAGTGGCGCTGCGCACATAAAAGCTGTCTTAGCTAAGACAGTCCTTGCTCTTGGCACATCTAACAATACTACATCATGCGATCTCAGACAATAGCTGCTTGCAACTTTCTGTGTTATCAGAGAGCAGATGTAATACGGGAGTTTACCCAACATAGCTTTATAAATAAACGTGTACCAATGACTGAGCCTCCGTACAGTAAGTGATGGCAAACCTGCCTTGGTATACAGTGTACAGTGATGTGTAAGTGCTTTACAATTTGTGACAAATCTCAGTGCACTGTGATAGGCGGCATCTAACTTGTTCAGGCAATGGGCAGGTGCATTCATATAGATCAGATCACCATAGTCCAGCACAGGTAAAAAGGTCACAGTGACTTTTCCTGGCTTCAAATGAGAAACAGGACTTGTTTCTGAAAAATAAACCTAGCCTAACCCTCAGCTTTTTAAGCAGGTTATTGACCTGAAGTTTAAAAGTGAGACAATCATCAAGCCAGATACCAAGGTATTTGTAACAGGCAACCACTTCAAGTATTATTCCTTGCGCAATTACAATATCCAAAGCAGTCTCTGGAGTCTTTTTGGCTTTTGAAAAGAGCATTACCTTAGTTTTCTCAACATTTAAAAGAAGCTTTAGCTCAGAGAGCTGAGTCTGAATAATGTTAAAAACAGCCTGTAATTTAACACCAGCCTCCTTAATCGAGGGACCTGCACAGTACATCACGGTATCATCCGCATAAAAATGTAAAGTAGCTTCATCCACATTTTCACCTAAACTGTTGATATAGATGGAGAATAAAAGTGGACCTAAAACAGAACCTTGAGGAACACCATTAGTAATGTTTAACCACTCAGAAGTGAGCCCATCAAAGTGAACACATTGTGACCTTTCAGAGAGGTAGTTCACAAACCACCCCACTGCATGGCTGGATATGCCAATACTGAGTAGCCTCTGCTTTAAGATGCGATGATCGACGGTATCAAACGCTTTGGAAAGGTCAATAAATAGAGCTGCACAACTCTGCTTATTATCTAAAATACTCGTAATGTCATTCACCACTTTCATTGTCGCAGTGATGGTGCTATGTTGCTTTCTGAAGCCTGACTGATGTTTAGACAGGATATTATTTTTACATAAAAACTCCTTTACCTGTTCACTCACTAGGCGTTCAAGAACCTTAGCCAGAACTGACAATTTAGAGATTGGCCTATAGTTATTTAAAATAGTTCCTTCCCCTCCTTTAGCAAAGGCAAGACATAAGCTGACTTCCATACTTTTGGAATTGCATTTGTGCTGAGGGAGAGGTTAAAAAGAGAAGTAAGAGGTGGTTCAATCAAATCTGCAGCTATCTTTAAAAAGAAAGGTTCTACGTTGTCCGGGCCAGCCGGTTTCTTAGGATCTCACTTGGTTAAAGCTTCATGAACAACATTAACAGTAAAAGGAGTAAAACTGAAAGGGTTTTCCAAACCACATTGTTCAGATTCACCGACTGTGGTGTTCACAGAAGCAGAGTTAGTCACAGAATCAAACAGAGAGCCACAGGACACAAAATGCTCATTAAAACAATTTAGCATAGTAGCCCTGTCCGATATAGAGCCAGATGCTGTGGTAAGGCACGGAGGTAGCTCATCACGGATCTCACCGGTGGATATCGATTTTATGGCTTTCCAAAATTTCCTAGGATTATTTAGGTTTTCTGTAGTAACTGATAGATAATACTTAGACTTAGCACTTTTGATTTGCGATGTGAAGCTATTTCTTAGCTGCCTAAAGCGTAGCCATTCTACCTCTGAGCCTGACTTCCTAGCCTTTGCCCAGGCCTTGTTTCTCTCATGCAGGAGACTGGACAGTTCAGCAGAAAACCAAGGATTGTCTTGTCCCTTTACTCTAAAATTATGCAGGGGTGCATGTCTATCAATGATCTCCATAAAACCAAGATAAAAATAAGACATCAGTTTCTACATCAGCACACAGATTGATTTTTCCCCAATCAAAGCCAAACAGATCATGAACAAAACCCTGCTCCACAAAATGTGTTGTGTCTCTCTTTATGATAATATGAGGTTTAACCTTTTGGACCTTAGTGTCCCTAATTGTGGCTACAACACAGTGGTCACTCACATCATTCGCAAATACTCCCACAGATGAGTATTTATAGGGAACATTAGTTAGAATGAGATCAATTAGGTAGGATTTATTAGGGGACTTCTACTGTCCTTCAACTCTGTGTTGTCTTTGTTTGTCTAGGAGGTTAGACACCCTACTGTCAAACACAGACCGCTCATTAAATGTTGTGCAGAGCCATGAATTAAACTACAAGGAATGAGTTAGTTGTGTGAGGTACATTAAAACGGTTACTGATTCAAACCTGTGTGTGGCAGTAAATGTGTTCAGAGGTCACCGGGTCAAAGAAATGTGATTGGTCTGATTGCTTTTCCTGTCTACAGTGTTGTGAAACATATGTCATAAAGAAATCAGAGACAGACAGACACGTATACAACATTGTATATATTTCCATTCAGAATACTTTATTTATCCCAGGGGAAATTGGGCCTTTTGACAGTTGCTCTATTTTAGAATTAAACACGTAGAAAGTTCAATAAAAAATCATACAAAATGTTTATATAAACATCAAAAGATAAAGTAAGACTGTGCCGTAAAAATATATAATAAAATAGATGAAAAATTACAAAATTAAGATATAAGCATAGGGTGTTTAAGTAAAATGTGCACTAAAGATATTTCTAAAAAACAATATAAAGATATATATACATAAATGTGCATTAAAAGTTAAAATAAAATAGGATTTCTAAACATTAGAAGGTAAAGTTATGATATGCATATTCTACTACAATATATACAGTATTGTTTTGCAATTTATAATATGTTAATGCTGAAGTGCATAGTTTAAAAGTGTTTGGCTGCTGATGGTTATTTCCTATAGTTCAAGTCTATACCAATATCATATTTTACCTTCATAAGTTCTTTAAACTGATTTTGAAGTTTATTAGTAATCGTAACACTTATTAAAAAATATTTTATCCTCTTGGTTGAGTTTATGATTACACTTGTCCACATTGAAAACAAAATCTTATTAAGAGACCCCTTACTAACCCTCTCATACGTTTTATTTGCTGTTGTTTTGTAATTGCTTCAGTATTGACATCAGTATTTGCTCATGCTCTGTTTGCTCTTTTTTCAGAAAGGTGCCGGGCTAGACTCTTAGATTTGTATGGTAAAATTCATAGAGTGATAGTTCAACCACAATTTATTCTATCAAAATATTATTTATCACCATCCTGTTAGAAAAGGGAAAATGAACATCTGTTTATCATGCATTTTAACCTTTATTTAAAACTAAACCTCATGATGTGTTTGAATGTTGGTGTTATATTTAACATGCCAAGCAGGGGTTTGTTCTGAGTGAACTTTGATCACATTGCAAAATAATTAAACACATAAAAACAGTGCCCTCCGCTGAACAACATTCACTCTCCTGGATTCCTGCTGGCCGTTCACAGGTAACTCTGTTAAGATGTAGACCTACAAACTACATTTAGATAAGAAATGACTATGTGTTTGTAATTGAATTATTTCCCCTCTATTATATTAATTTGTTTAGGTTAAAGATCCTTCTTTGCTCTTTGGTGTGTGTGTTTTATCTGCAGTGGGATCAGAGAAGAAGAAAAAGAAGAAAAAGAAGAAGAAGAAGAAGAAGAAGAAGAAGAAGAAGAAGAAGAAGAAGAAGAAGAAGAAGAAGAAGAAGAAGAAGAAGAAGAAGAAGAAGAAGAAGAAGAAGAAGAAGAAGAAGAAGAAGAAGAAGAAGAAGAAGAAGAAGAAGAAGAAGAAGAAGAAGAAGAAGAAGAAGAAGAAGAAGAAGAAGAAGAAGAAGGTGGCGTGAGGCTCTACTGTGAGTGACAGATTAGAAGTCCTGACGCTGACCCATTTAATAAGGTCAGTCACATGACAACAGCACAATAAGACAGTAAGCATGTCAGCCATTACTGGAGACACCTGTACATGGGTTTTGTTTCAGCTAAGTAATAGCAAAGACACACATACAGTACATGTGATTTGTTGTCTTTAAATAGTAGATAATTATGGCTGCTGTTGCAATCAAAATTGGACATGTGCGGTAAGGTCAGATTTAAACAGTGGTGGAAGAGGTACTTAGATCTTTTAACTAAATAAAAGCAGCAATACTGATTTTTTTTAAATAATCTGTTAAAAAAAAAGTCCTTCATTCACAATCTTACTTAAATTAAAATACAAAAGTATGTCATTGAAGTACCAAAATGAGTGTTTGTTATGCGCAATGGCCCATTTTATAAATTACTGTGCACATCGAAGCATTAATGTGTATTACTGGTGATAATGGAACTAAAAGAAATGTAATGCTGCTATATCTTCAACCCAGTTAAGTGTCAATGTCTATTTTTGATTATTTGTATCTCATGTTTAGCTAAACATCTTAATTTGTAAAGAAACTAATAACTAAAGATAAATGTAGTGGAGTAAAAAGTACAATATCGGCTCGTAAAATGCAGTAGAAGTCAAAAGTAGTAAAATCAAGTAAAAGTACCTTAAATTGTACTTTCTCGTTTAATACTTGTAAATGTATTCTCCACTGGATTTAAAGATTCAAAAGCTTTATTATATGAAAAACTGCTGCTATTGGAAAATAAAATGTTAAGTTCCTGGCTCCTCCAACAATGCAACATATCTTATAACATAAGATAGTGCAAGTAACATAATGTAAAATGCAGGAATGAGTAAACTTAACACGTATGTAAAATAGAATAATAATACATTTATAATAATAATACATTTGATTTATATAGCACACTTTAAAGACAACGTCATCTCAAGGTGCTTCACAAAGCTATAAGGAGAAAATAATAAAATAAAAAGATATCTAAAGGAGCATATTGAATAAAATATGGTAATATACAAAATAAAAATAAAAGGTTAAGAGCATAAAAGGTTTAAAAATAAATAAATAAATGAAATAAAGGAATAAGATTAAACAACATTTACAATTAAATACTGATTAGGTATATGTTGGCTATAACAAATGGTGTATATTTTTAAACAAGTCTAGTGGTTTGTTGCTGCATGACATGATACTTTGATGATCTGGTGTGACTTACATTGAAATGTACAGTTATTCAATATTTAAAATACAAATGTTGGTTTTATTCAAATGAATGAAGTCCAAGTCAGATTGTATTTAATTAAAAGTCATAGCACCCAGTCAACACTTAAATATTCACACATCACCTCTGGATAATGGAAAATAAATGTAAATGTAACCCCTAAGAATGCACAAATTACCCAAAAAAATCTGATAAAAAAATATTTATATCTATTTATTTTTATTTTTTTTTTATATGCTTTGTAATTATTCTCAATTCCTCATCCCTGCTGTCAATCACTCACCGCCTCTGTCCCTCCGTCGGCGGTTCTCAAGGTTACTTTAGTTCATTGGGAGTGTCTTACTGTACCACGTGATCCTGATGCAAAGTTACTCTGTGTCAAAGCTCTACTCAGCTGCAGGGACGCTCAGCCAGGGTGGTGTGATGTGATGGGACCAAAATAACACAGCGATTTTTTTTTTCATATGAAACCATTTGCACAACGTTATAAAAACATGTGAAAATACTCAGATATGTGATTTAATAACCATCATATGTACACTTTTGACGTTTATTTTTGTTTTGTTTTTAAATATATAGGCTACTCATATGACCAAATAGCATGAGTTTTCGGAAGGAACAAACATACTTCCCTGGTACAATTACACTCAATATAAACATATAACTCGGTATTGTACGTGTTTATACAGAATAGACGTTACATCCCCTGTAACCTTGGCGTCCATCGCATCTCACGTCCGACCTCACAGCGCTCATGTTCCAGCAGGCTGTCATTGCGCAGCAGCCAACTAGGTGAAAGAGGAAAATCCATCAGGAGGAAAAGGATGCTACAATAGGCCAGGGTTTTTTTTTTTCTTCCACAAAACACATTAGAAACCTGCTGGACTTCGCCATCTCCTGACCAGCTCCCCCACTGTGGTCCGTCTCAGATATATTGTCGCTCCCCCCACCCCCCCCCTCACCCCCTCCTTAATCTCCCAGATTGTCGGCGACTTGCTGCAGTCGATGCTGCAGTTTTGAGCCGCTCCTGCACCGGGACAGCTGACTCGATGAGAAAGAGATGCTCGCATTCGTTTTGGTCTCTGGGTCGCTCTGGATTATATTAGGTGAGTTTAGATATATATTTCTTTATTCATTTTTACGATGTAGCATCGCTGTGATGGGGTTTATAATAAGCGATGCACCTGCCTCTCAGGGGCTGAGGCGCATTGTGTGTCATCCACTGCCGGCTTTTTCCATTCATTCAGGGCTGTGGTATTTTTCCTTTTTTGCAGAACACACTTCGTCGACTGTTCAGTCATTTCGCTGCAGATTTGCTGCACAGAAAGACGCTGATGGTGACATTTTCTCAGACTACACGTGTATAAACCCAAGCTATATAGATAAGAAGGTGTAATATCTCGGTGTAATCAGTGTTTAGCTTCAACCACAGTGCTTACATTTGTCTTTAATGGTTATTGGCTCAACATGGAGGGATGCTCCCAGGTTGGCTTTACCTACAGGGAGGGGGGGGGGGGGCTGCCTGCCATGCGGTTGAATGCATGTGGTTCATTCTGCTGTTCAGAAATGTAACATCCACGTCGAAATGTTTTTTTCACGTTGAAAATCCAACCATTAAATGCAGGGCTGTCCTGATTATAAGCCAAATTGGATCAAACGTGTGCATTTTGAGGCCGGCCAGCTGCTAAGGTCGTGTGACATTGTGCGTAGAAACCGGACACACGTCATAAAAAAATTAGGGATCAGCCTCACGACCTCCTGGTGTAGCTAGGATTTCAACCTAAACGATGCTGTAACACATCCCCACCTCCCATGCTTTTATCAGATACTAACATGTCAGATTGCCTGAAAGCCGGTTGTGAAACTCAGCGTTTTGTGTGTGTGATGTCCTCCGCCATGCCTCAGTCAGTGATGGAGGGAGGGAGGATGAAGAGGATGAGGAAGGATGACGCGCTGCAATTTTACCGGCTCTGATTGGACGGAGCTGTCCAGGAGATAGGGGTGCTGAAATCTTGCGGCCTACCGGCAAACTGGAGAGCTCAGCATGCTCGGCTCCAACCGACCGACACCACCCCCACCCCGGTCCGCACAGCGAGTTTGGGGGCATCGACACGTTTCACAGAAGCTCGTTGACCTCTAGTTGTCTTTAATATGCCATGGAGATTTGTGTAACAGATATAATCCCTTTCGATCTGTGTTTGTCAGTGTTACAGAGCAGATTAGAGTCATGCTAGCGTTAGTGTTGTTGATTTTTATGCAATGTGTCACTAAAGAGTAAATGCTCAGCGAAGGATTATTTTTAATGGATTGTGGAGGAAGGTTACAACAAGGCTATTTCAAGTGTAAATAGACCTGGGTGTAATTATGTATTCCTCCGCCAAATAGTATAGTTCTTTAACAGCAGCTGCATGGTTGCTAAATTACGACCTATAACAGTTAGAATTGTAGTGAGTGGTTGAATATTAACATATGCTGTTTATTTAATTAACAAGCAGCCAATCAGAATTAAAGCCTGGATTTGTTTTAAAAAAAATGAACACTTCTGTGAGGCTAAAAGGGCTCTTGGGTAGATTCATGACACCTTCAACCTGTCAGCACATCCTGCTGCTCCTCAATATAAATAATTCATTTTAATCAGCATCTAGTGCCGCCCCACACAGCTTGTAAACCTATTCTTTTTCCTACCTCAATATTTGATTAAAAGGATGGCGGTGGAGTTGTCCCACCCTTTGGCAGAAAGCAACCAATCGTGTTTTAGTATTTAAGTTATTCTGCTTAATACCACACCCACCACATGACTTGTACCAGTGTGACCCATACGTTTTAAATGCTGCTTTTCTATCATTCAAACAACTTCTTGGATGGTATCCAGAATGTACCCAAGCAGAGGGAGGGTGTCAAAAGGATTGTGAAAATGTCTAATACCTGCAAATTAAAGAAACACTGCACAATTAGACTGAATCATTGTGGAGTGTTTCCTGCTGATGCCAGTCATTGTGCACTTGTGAGGGAAATATAGTGAGATGTATCACAGCATGACACATTCCTTTAGCTGCTATGCAAGTTAAATCATATGTCAAAGTACTGAATTTAGTCTGAGATATACACTCTTTTAAAGTCTCAGTCCTGATGAAATCAATATCAGCCAGCTTTAGTGCTCTCAGATCCTCATGGCAGCTTTCCCTCTGAGTGGTGTATTGCTGTTTCAGCATTCAATGCATCCTCTTCCAGATATTGTGGGATGCTGGGCAGTAATGTCTGAGACTAAAGTGCTGACAGTCTGTCTGCCTATCACATGCACAAGTAGTTGTTCTATTTTGGACCACCCTTCTGAGTAATGTACAATGTTGTCCATAATTGGATTGTATTGCTCGTCCTTCTCCTTTCAGATATAAGCTCCAATTAGTGACAGGTTTACCATAAAAACGTTTTTTATTCACCGAATATAACTCATGCTCATTCCTCTTCTAGAACAGTTGCACATTTCTTAAATATATGTGATATGTGTTGAACTGTTAGCCCGTAATAGTTCCCCGTCTCCTTGACTATCCCCATAAAGCGATGCATATGCACAGTGGAATACATGTTTTTCTTAGCCTTGCACCCATAATTTAGATTGTTACCCTGAAGAACAATTGTCTTACAGCCCATAAGGGGCCCTAACCCCCAAGGTCGAGACTCACAGGTGTTAGCGCTCACTTTGATAGTAAAATCATAGTGGGAGGAGTGTCATTGTGTGTAATTTGTTTAAACGTTTAAGCATCAACTGTAAGCAGAAGTGTCTATTTGCCTATGAGCCTTCTCATGTATCTATGTCCTGTGTGTCACTATGCCAGTGTGTGCATGTGTTTAGTCAAGGATAGGAGGAGCACTGTGCATTAAGTAGGGGGAGGAGAGAGAGAGAGAGAGAGAGTGGTGGAGGGAGGGAGGGAGGGAGGGGTGAGTGGGTGTGTCGAGAGAGTGCAGCGTCTGCCGAGCTGAGGGTGGTGTGATACGGAGGCCAGCAAGGCCCAAACTAGGCCAACACGCATCTAGCTGACTTCCTCTTTCCTCTTGCCTCAGCTTAATCTGGCCGTAGCAATAGGAAGGTAATTACCAGTTTTCACAGGGTGATGAGATATCTTCCCGAGGGCCCTTAACACACCACATTCAGACACACACACGCAGACAAAGACCCACATCACGCCTCACCGGCTGCCTGGCTGCCTCCGACGCCTTTGTAAGTGCCGCAGCCTTGACCACAGCTGCTTTAACCCTTCTGCAATACAGTAGATCTTTTGCCTTATTTCTTTATTTCGTTATTTTTTGCATTTGCTTGCTCTGGATGTCTATTGAAACTTACGTTCTGCATTTTCTATTTCATATTTATCATTCCTTCCTGATATATTGTACTCCTTTCCATTGCCGCTTGTATCGTTCCCAAATGTGCCTATACTTGTTGCAATGATCTATGTGTTGCATATCAATTCAGGAGGGGAAACGGTTGTTTAGCGTGCACAGGAAGTACACTGTATTACTCCAGCAGCAGTAACAGGAGGAAGTTGTGTTTTGAGGGGGAGGGTGGTCCATGCAGAAGAATGGCAGAAAGAGATAAGAACGAGCTGTTAAAAGGTAGTGAGCAAGAGAGAACGTGATGTGCAAGCATGATTAGGCATTTGTTTGAAAGCAAAAAGAAAGATGAAATGCATTGAAGCAAATGTAATTAATGCAAACCCTGTCAGAGCATACTATGAAATAAGCATTTCAAGAATAAGAGAAAGCCTTGCAGGATGTCTTTAAATAGAGTGTGGTAGTGAGGTTATTACTGGTCAACTGCCTCTGTGCTAATAGGCTGTAATCTCCCCACGCTGGACTCTAATCATTGGTGATGGGCCTCAGATGGGCCGATGAGGCGGGACTTAAAAACACACTGCTGCATTTCCTCCACTTTAAGCCTCAGAGGTCACAGGAAGTCTGGCTGGCCCATTCACAAGCCCTCATCCCTGCAGCCCTAACACCAAAGAACAGAGAAAGAGCAAGTGTCATAGCGTTCAGGGGACATCAAAGTATAGCTTTGGAGCTGCTGCATTAAACTAGGGACAGTTGCAACTGAGGTCTCATAATCAACATTACTCATGTTGTTCAAATGGACTGATAAAGTGACTCCAGCCATTCACAGATCCTCGGGTGAGCGACTATTCAGAGGATGACCCATTTGTGGAAATGTACCATGGATGAAGTCAGCTAAATTCCCTTACAAAAATATTGCCACTAGAACTTTCAGCTCTTTTGTGAGTGGATACAGCTGCTAGGTGTATGTAATTCATGTTTCAGTCAAGGCCAGGGTTTTATTGAACCTTTTGTTTGAAATGTTGCAAGTGCTATCTATGTCTTTTGTGCACACTGATCCTCAAACTCATACATTGTAGTTAAAGGCAGTACCTCTTAATTGAGCAAGACACCAAACCTACCTACACATTCATGGATGAAGCTAAACGGACAATTTGGTTTATTGTGTGATTGCATAAATGAAACAGTCTTTGAGTTCACAATCTGATAAAGGTCATTGTTGTCGCTGACCTGTTGTTCTTCTGTCACACCAGCTGAATCAACAAACTCTGCAGAATCCTACAGGGATGAAGACCCATACTTGCATGTACATGTGTGTCCCTGGGGCGCGTTATTTATTTCACTACAGGACAGAAAGCTGGACTTCAGAGGCTGCGTACACAGATGTGGCTTTAGAGGCCTGAATGCAATTCCACTACTGGTCATTCAAATTAGGGAAAAGGTCAAATTGATGACTGCTTTTTCTAGGGGGAGCCACTCAAATCTGACTTTTCATGTCGTTGTGGTGGCTTCTGTCTGGAGATATAAACTTCAAAGGACTCTGAGATGGGACACAGCCACTGTGTAAAGTCCAGGTCCAATTGATTCTTTAAGACCCTTTCCTTCCTCCCACCCAGCGCTCAACCATGCTATTACTACAGTCTAGCATCACTTTTGAGGAGGAAGCAGAAGTGAACAGTTGAGTCATCAGGGTTGGCACTATCACTATACTGTAAGTCAGATTCTGCTTGCACCATTTCCTGCTCTGTATTTTTCTCACATCTGTTATACTACAATA